TTGAACCACGAATGACATTTTAATTCTTTGTCCCTTGTTCTACGTAACAATTTGAATTCTAATTTTTTTTTTTTTTGGCAGTGACTTGATAATAGTTTTTGCCATAGTAAAAACTAAACTACAATATACTATAATAACAAACTTCTCAGTTGTATCGTGTGCTAAAAGAAATTAGAAATTACTAAGCATTTTTATTATATAGTGATTTGTAACGTCAACCAAAACTACTGATAAAATCATTTAGGCTATAGACATACAGTACAGTATATTCGTGATCTCATAAATCTGTCTTTAAAGTAAATGATAATATGATCATGCGGAAGTTAAATATTAAGATTAATAAAAAGCTTACAAATATAAATATGTTGAATATAATTGTTTTGTCTCTTTGTTTCTCCTGAATTCTTGACGCGTAAAAATAATAAATTTAAAAAGTATATTTATACCGTATATATACTAATTATTATATAAGTATTTGTTTTTTCCTTGAGCGATGTAAATAAAATAAAGATTTTATACTTTTTAATTTATATTTAGCAAACGTACTTAACTATAGATTTGAAAGAATAAAAACTTTCCGTTTCTTTTTTATAGGGTAATGATGAATTTTTTATTTATTATGATTAATACGTCAATTATTAATCTTTTTATTCGTCAATAATCCAAGAAAATATGTTTGATCTTATCAGTTTCGACAAACCATGTCAGTTTCCATGGGAAAGGTATTTCCCAAACTCAAACCTTCTACAAATGATGATGATTCTTCATCTTCATTTGTATTTCGTCCTGACCTCAACATAAGATTGATTTGTCCTAATTGCAAGAATCCTCGTCCTAAAATCATTGAAGAATATGCTAATGGCGATCTAGTATGCGGTGATTGTGGTCTTGTCCTTGGTGATCATATGATTGATACTCGACCTGAATGGCGTTCCTTCCAAACTGATGATGGTGAGAAAGATGTTTCTCGTGTTGGTGCTGCCGCTGATCCATTGTTACAGGGTGCTGCCTTGGAAACTACCATCTCTTCAAAAGGAAGAGGTGAACTCGCCAAGACTCATTTTAAGGCAACTGTTGACAAAAATACTGTAAATCTTAAACATTCTCTTCACGAAATTGAAACCATGTGTACTTCAATGGATTTATCTCAGGAAGTTATTGATACTACCAAACAGTTATACAAACGCACTGTTGAGGAAAAAATCGTGAGAGGAAAAATTAAAATTGCTTTTTACGCTGCTTGTATTTATATTGCTTGTAGAATAAATAAAGTTGCAAGATCTTTCAAAGAAATCTGTGCTTCCACTCAAGTTTCAAAAAAACATCTTGCACGTGCTGTTAAGAATTTGGTTGCTACTTTTGAATTAAATATGGGATTAATGACTTCTGAAGATTTGATGACAAGATTTTGTAATCGACTTGGACTCACTCCTGATGTCGAAAGAATTTGTAGTAAAATTAGTCAACGTATTGAAGAACTTGGTTTTTTAACTGGTAGAACACAGAATACAGTCGCCGCTGCTACTATCCATTTCGTCACGAACTCTCTCAATATTTCTATATTAATCGAAAATATTGCTTTGGTCTCTGGTATGGCTGTTCCTTCTATTAAGTCGGTCAGTAAAATGATTTATGCTGAAAAAACGAAACTAGCTGATTTGATTGGTGATCAAGGAGAAAAGGCGGATGTCGTCTATTCAAATGTTGAATAATTTTATTATCTTCATGCATTACTATCTACTATATTATTAGGCATATTTGACATGTTAGGTTTATAAATATTGGAAATCAATCAATCTTTATGTCTCCTTTTAATTTGCGTAATATTAGATATTGTATGCTTGTTTTTTGTAATTAAATCACAATCATCGTGCTATTTTATAAATGACTTGCGATTGTAATTTTATAGAATTTATCGTATCTGTATCAATTTAGTAGAGCTTTAAAAGGCAGTACTATGTCTTGTATTAAATTTCTTTTTCGTATGAACATTTCTCAAAATGTAACTAACATTTAACAAAATATACAATAGGTTGAAAATAATGATATAATCTGGATTAAAGCTAAGAAAATCCGAAAATAAAGGTGTTTAATTATACCTCAAGACACTAATTAAAAATAACAGGATTAAATTTTTTCTTATATAATTTGTCTTACTTTCTTCAACCTTAACATCCTAGTTAAAAATTTTCATTTTCACACCTTTTTTCTTTTTTTGATATTCTAGCATAAATTTTCTAGCCATACTATATATATTCTATTATCCGGATTATCCGGATAATCCGGATGGAAAATTCAACAGATCTGAACACTAATTCGTATACTTGCCGGCCAAATCCCAAACTATTATAAGTTTGGGTTTGTCCGCGCCCAAATCCCAAACCCAAGCCCAAATCAATATTTCAAAACCTTTATTAATAATCTTTATTCAAATAAATGGTATATATTCTTATAGCTATATATAATATATTTACAAAATATCAAAATTATTTTGTTGATTTAATTTTTTATAAAAGCAATTTATTTTTTGGGGTTTGGGATTTGTCCGGGTTTTGCCAGCAAGTATAACTAGTTCGCGTATAAATATACGAATATCATATCGGCCAATTTTGTTTTTTGGGCCTTTTTTAAACTCTATATCTATATGTTAACAGCCCGTCGACCAATAGACTCACCCTAAAACCAATGGTTTTTTAAGCTTTGTTTTACTATTTAAAAGCCCATCAAACCAATAGGCCCACCTTATAACTAATGGTTTTTTTTTCAAAGAATTATACAGAAATTATAATCAGAGCTAATTAGAGTATAAATTAAATTTAATATCAGATATAGTAAATGATCAATTACCAACATATCGGCCAATTTGGTTCGACCCCAAAATTTAACCAACACCTTAGTTCACAATTAATTCAAAAGTTCATTTCGTAGACTACTTATTTCATAAACAACTCATTTCACAAAGTTCATTTCGTAGACTACTTATTTCATAAACAACTCATTTCACCAAGTTTATTTATATAAACTACTGTGTATATACTTCTCTTCTAACTTTAAATCAAATTCTAACCCTAATTTTAATAGTAATAACTGTCTTTGAAATGAGCTTCTGTGAAATAAGCCTTTATGAAATGGGTTTCTGTAAAATAGGTTCGTCGGTGAATTAAATGTCTGTGAATTAAGGTGTCTCGGAGTGATTGTCTTTGAAGTCAAATGGCAGCCTCAGCTAAATAATCGAATATACCCTATGCAGTTACATAGCAAACTTGAAAAATTAGCTAAAGGCAACCAAATTATTCATTGTACCCACAGCTTTTAGATTTTGTCATAATGGATGATATTGAAAATTCAAAATTATCAAAATTCTAGATGAGGAAATAATTTTTTATAAGAATAATCAATCAACTTTTTTAGAATTAAAATAAAAAGATTTTCATTGAATTTAATCAGGTGATTATTGAGATATCTTTGATTAAAAGTTGCACTCTTAAAAACTATAAAAAATTTTATTAAAAATTAAATTAAAAAATTTTAATTAAAAATGATTTAAAATTATTTTTTTTTCTTTACATGATACACTTCATATTCTTCTATTTGATAACTTTTTATATCTTCATCATCTTCACTATCAAAATCTGATATTTCTCCAACAATTTTTTCTAATAAATTTAAGGAATAACATTCAGATTTACATGTAACTTTACCATCTTTAACTATTAAATCAGTTGTTCCAAATGATGGTCCAGTATTTTTATTCAAGCACACAGCATGTTTTGAAGATGAAGCTCTACTAAATAAAGATTTATGTTTCGTAGGTGTAGTATTAATTATCAAATTACGATTGTATTTAAAAGCTAAATTATTATCTATTATATTAGTAGAATCTTCTCGATTATTTTCAGAATCTTGATCTTCAGTACTTAAAGTTCATAATATACCTTTTTCATTTTAGGACCAAAAGTTTCTTATTACTGAGAATAACTTCGTAAGTTATTTCCTTTTCTTTATAATCTTTTAACTCTGGGCATTCATACGAACAGCATGTGTCAAGCACAATTCAGACGATCAAAGAGATAAAATTTTTTTCTTTTTTTTTTTTTTTTTTGTAAATTTCTTCTACACTTATGAAGTAATTCTCATTCTTCCTGCGCAGTACCTATTAACGCCGCTGGTACCAGGCTATGTGCATGTCTTACAGAAAGTATGTATCCTTTTTTGCGCAGTGTTTACTATCGCGCCAATGCTAGGCTACTTGTACGCGTCTTACAGGTATACAATACTTATTTGTTAAAGCAGTTTTTATTCCTCTTGCGTAGTACCTATTAACGCCACCGGTACCAGACTATGTGCACATCTTACAGAAAGTATGTATCCTTTTTTGCGCGGTACTTACTATCGCACCAACACTAGGCTACTTGTACTCGTCTTACAGGTATACAATACTTATTTGCTTTTTTTTTTTTTTTTTAACTTTTTCTTTCTCTTTTTCTAGGGCCCAAAGGACTCCTAAACAATTTCTTTTCAGACCTACAACCATAGGACACATGGCCGACTTTCTTACACCTAAAACAAACAAGGTTTGTTTCGGAGGTTCCAGCAGGTTTTGCTTTATCTTCTTTAGTGAAATCTCTTCGAGGTCAGTTATTCTCAGAGAAGGACTTAGTTATTAGCGCCATGAATTCTTTAAACTGGTCGGCGTCCATTTCGGAAATTATACAAGGTTATAAAGTTCAAATCTCACAGTCACCACCAAATGTTACGGGCGGAATTATCAGTCACCACCAAATGTTATAGACTATTTGGTAAATTGTAAGTCACTACCAAGTGTTACGAGTAATTCATATACTTTCTTTAGACTTCTCGCCAGAGGCGTGACGTTAGTGATTTGGGAAGTGGAGTTCAATAATTATGATCAACCTTATGTGCCCCTACCTCGCACATAAGAGTCATTGCCAACCTAAGTTGTTGTAACATCCTTTATATAGTTTATTGAATATATGCGGGGGGGGGGGGGCTTGGATGCTGCTATCGTATAATTTTATTATACGATTATTGTCATGTCATTTCTTGGAGGCTTGGTACAAATGACTTGTGTGCAAATCGGAACTACACGTAGATGAATTCTTGGATGTTGTTCGGATCGACACGTCATAGACTTAGCATCGCCACGTCGTAGACTTAACATCGCCACGTCATAGATTTAGCATCACCACTTTGGGCTTTCGGCGCAGTTCCGACCCTATTTTCTGGTATCGTCACTTTTGCACCATAACATTACTAATTACGAAAGTTCCGGAATAGAATATAAATGAACATAAAATACGAGCAAGGTTCAGCCGAAGTATTAGTATTCCGAAGACAAAAGTTTCAAAAAAATTTTATTTTATACCAGTTGCTGAAGTATTCTGAAGAAAAAAATTTCAAAAAATTTTATTTTATACCAATTATACTATACTATACATACTATACGTACTGTATGTACTGTACGTACTGTACGCGAAAAAAATTCAGGTATCATATAAATGGCATATCACTAGTAATAGGCTTTCGACTTTCGATAACACTTTCGCGATTCGATAAGACTTTCGAGATTTGATAACACTTTCGAGATTCAATAAGACTTTCGAGATTCGATAACACTTTCAAGATTCGATATCGATATTTTGACACTATAGAATTTATCGAAATAGTTTCAACACGCCAAAATACTTTCGATAAGCATCCTTATTCAGCTTTCGAATTTAAAATGGCTAGTAATGAGGGAATGCAAAATAATTTGTCTGCAAATTTTGCTCAGTTGTTATGAAGTAATCCATCAGGCTACATATTGATCGTTTCATCTTTCTGATTAATCCTCATAAAATATATTAAGTATATAATTAGATCTATCTATTATTGACCAATACTATTGATGTATTACACTTAATTAACGTTAGATTTTAATCCCGATAAAGATAAAATATACCAACTATCCTACTAAAATATTACCCTAATAGTCCTCAAAATTTACGAATTGGCTGTCAATATTATCAAGCTACTTGATTCCATTTGAGTTTGTCTTATTTTCTTCACGAATTATAATTGCATAATTATTAACGATTTTAATGTATTGGAATTTGCAAAAAAAAAAAAAATTAGAATTCAAATTGTTACGTAGAACAAGGGACAAAGAATTAAAATGTCATTCGTGGTTCAATGTGACAAAATTGTATATATACATTGTGTATTATATCACTTTCTATGTGACTCTATGAATACTTGTGATAAACTAATAACTATATAAGTCACATAATAATACGAATGTGTTTCAAATTACATCTATAGGCTAACTATTTATATCCATCGATTAACTATTTATATCTATCTACTACCTTAATCGGTAAAACCTCAAAACGGTATAAGCTATATTAAAAAGGGCCAATAATATCAATTTTTTCCGTAAGTGTATACATCATACCTGCCGAATAAACCAGTGATCCGACGAATACGGAAAAATAACAACGCACATGGCCGAAGGCCACGTGTTTTTGTTATTATCCTGTATATTTCCAGATAACAAGAAATAATCGGCGCTACGTACGTATAATACGTAAGATATTGCAACGCAGATCTCTCTTTAACCATTTCTGGTTTTCCGATTTTCTACGTACGTAGCACAGTAATTAAGGTTAATATATTCATAAATATCAGGCCTACCGAATAATTAATTATATAGTCAATTTTTCGATTAATTTTGTGATGATTTTAATTGATTTTAATTTTATAAAAATTAATTTTTCGGTAGGCCTGATAAATATAATACCGTACCTCATATAATATATAACATAAATTTTATATGTTGAGGTCATGCCTAATTTCCCAAATGTATATTTTTTATGAATAATCTTCATTATTCTTAATGGTACAGTACGAATATTCGTAATAATTATAAATATTCATAATAATTATGAATATTCATAAATACAGAATATTAGAATATATGGTGTGTCCCCTATTAAAAGGGCCCATTTTTACAATTTAGATAAATAGTGTCACGGGCTAAAAGTGGGATTTCCGAAATGTAATTCTGCGCCGTCAATTCAAGTTAAGCTGGTTTGATTTCGACAATCGGCCGATGAATGTTCGGCCATGACTTATGAGGCTTATGTCATTAATTATGAAATAATATAGTGGCTGTAACTTTGACGGAATACGCGAGGAAAAGAACGCGAGGCAAAGACTGAATAGAGCCGAATAAAGGTTCAGAATGAAAGCGGAAAGACACAAACTAGTCAAATTACTATTAAATTAAAGAGGACAACGTAAAAACTTACTTTTCAAAAAGCCTCTTTAATAGAATAAACCCGTTAAACTTTAAGAATCTCGGCCGTGAAAAGGATGAATTAATTATCAAAGCCACCTGTTCTATTAATATATAAGGTGAGTTATGTCCAAGCCTCATTAGTCCTTTAACGTTATATAAAGAACGTAACTTTGTTAAGGTTGGTTACGACACTTATGTGCGAGGAAGCTCACTAACAATAATAATTCCTCTTTTATTATTACCCAAATCACCAACGTCACGCCTCTGGCGAGGAGCTTAAAGAAAGTATATGAATTACCCGTAACATTTGGTGATGACTTACAATATACCCCGTCACAATTTCCTGATAATATCTATAGACATTGTTAAATAGTATAGCATAATGCTGGCCAGCTAACCATGACTCCGATGTCTTCGATCCGGAAATTTGTAAAAAATCTACAATCTACAAATCTACACATAAGATTTCATGTGTATTAATTAGGTCACAATAAAAAGGGGGTTCAGAAAGAGATATGCAGGAAATAAATGATTAATTTTTGAAAAGCTACTTTTTGACGTTATGTGCTTTCACATGTGTATACAATAAAGAAATGATTTGAGGTCCATTAAACTTTTTCATAGTCAATAGCCACAGAGATTTGCATGGATCGTAGTAGATCAATACCGATACCTTTTCATTTAACTACTAAAACCATATTTGAATGTCTATGAGTTTCCTTTTAATGCAGCATTATGGTCAGAAGGATGGTAAGATTGTCATTTTTATCCACACGTATTTATCATATATATCTGGTTGTGGAAATATTTCTGAAATATTCTGTCTCTATTTTTCTGTTGAACTTCATCTACATACCTTCTTTACCCAATATAATAATAGACAATGGATGGTCTATCACGAGATTTATGTTGGCTTCTTGACAACTCTAATGATCATAATATATTGATTTACGCTGGCGAAGTTCCAAATACCACGGCTTTTAAAGCTCACACTAACATTCTTAGAGCAAGATCTTTATATTTTCGTGCTGTCTTTTCTAGTAAACATTTATCATTTAATTCTAAAAGAGATACAAAAGGCTCGGCCATGACTGAATGGTATCAACCAAATATTTCTCCAGAGATATTCCAAATTATGCTTAGGTAGTTTTCTTTTCTTACTATATATATTTTTCATTTTGTATTTATTATAACTTTACACTCTCTCTTTAAAAAAAGATATATCTATAGCGGACAACTCGATTTAGATGGAAAAAATGTAGAGAGAATACTCGAATATCTCAAAGCTGCTGATGTATTATGGCTCCATCAACTTTTAGACTCCATCCAAACACATTTAATCAAAAATCATTCGTTTTGGTTAAAAAAAAATTTCGTTGAAGTATTTCAACTTTTGCATCATCATCCAACCACATTTAAAAAACTACATCAGTATAGTCAAGTGATTCTATCAATAGATTCTAAAAGTCTTTTCGATTCTCCTCACTTTTTAACTCTTACGGAAGAAATGTTAATTTCTCTGCTTCAAAAAGATTATTTACAAGTTGAAGAATCATTTCTTTGGTCTAAAGTCATTGAATGGGGAATTGCTCAAAATAATCTTGATCTTAATGTGTCAAGTTGGGGTTCTACCGATTTCTCTAATTTACGGTTAACTTTATCAAAATTTATTTCTCTTATAAAATTTGAAAATATGTCTTATGAAGACTTTAATGAAAAAGTTCAACCGTACAAACCAATATTTCCGTATGTTGTCCATTTCGTTAGTGTATTATTTTAATTTGTCTTATACTTTCTAATAAAACCTTTTCTTTAAATAGGATTGATTTTTATGAAAATATTAAACAATATCACATGAATATGTTTCAACAAAGTGTTTCAACAATTTTATCTGACTCAATACAACTTGAATCATTACAATTTGAACCATCATCTAATGATGATGTTTTTATTCCTTTTTCTTCTCAATCTACACAACCAAAAAAAATTTATCTTCGATTTCTTCTCCTCCACAATCTCCTTTATTTTCTTCAGGTTTTTTGACCCCATCTCGACCTTTCTCTTCTTCATCACAACAAACTTCGAATTCACTAATTTCACCTCCAACACCAAGAACTCTAAATTCAATACCTTCATCTCCAACATCGAAAACTTTTAATTCAATACCTTCACCTCCAACACAAAATAATTTTAATTCAATACCTTCATCTCCAACACTGAACACTCTAAATACACTTCCATCTCCAACAAATCAAACATCTTTCAGTTACCCATCGGTCTATTACAATTCTTCAATGGCACTACAAAGTAATACCCCTTCCACTTACCAAAATGATAATTCAACAGAATCTATAAAGCAATTTTCAATTCCAAAATCTAAAATATCATTATTGTCAAGAAGTAATTTAGCATTATTATCTGGATGGATTGATGGTTTAGATTTATCATCACCTGATGATGCGTCTTATGCTGTTGATAATGTTCCTTATAAATTTAAATTATTAATTCGTGGTTCTCAACATGGATTTAATGATAAAATATTTCATAAACGATGTGATAATAAAGGTCCTACAATAATTGTTATAAAATTAAGAGGAGTTGAAGGAGTTACTATTGGTGGTTATAATCCATCAAAATGGCAATCTCCTTGGATAAAAAAATTTGAAAAATGTCATCATAGTTTTATATTTTCTTTAAGTACTGAAGATCAAGATTCTGAAAATAATCGAGAAGATTCTACTAATATAATAGATAATAATTTAGCTTTT